TTTTTAGTGAAAATTTATTTTTAGTCCCACGCCTAATTGATAGTTGTGTTTGACTGGAAGAAGAAGTCATTGTGTAGTGGTATTGTTTTATGGGTTTGGCATGGTAAACTAGTCTTGATGATAAATATCTGGTGAATTACTTGAAAGTTTGGATAATAGGGGAAGGGTCATTCATCTATAACTGTTTTTAAGACCCTTGTGATATGTTCTGTGGACTCACCTATCTGGGGAGGGATGAAAGGAAAGCTCAAGTTGATGTCAGGGAGGAAAAAAATAGAGTTCCCAAAGCTTTGAGGACCAAGAGTTCATTTCCACAGTGTGTGTGAAGGAGAGCCTCATGGAAAATGATGCAACTGGGATGCCTTCAAGGGTGGGGAAGGTTTCCATAAACAGAAACAAAGAGGAGGATAAAGAGCATGCCGTGGTAGTGGGGGCAGGTGAGGTTGGAGGGTACTGGGAGGGGAAGGCACAGATGCTTGGGGGCTCCCACTGGCTGAGGAGTGCAAGCTGGGGGAAGGACGTTTGTGATTCAAGGGGCCTAGGATGTAGAGGTTGCATTTATCATTGACCTTCTTTTCCTGGTAAGATGACAAAGGAAAATTGTACCTTAGATAATACTTTGACAGCACTTCATTGATTTGTTAACTTCTACTATTAAGGTGCTTCTTTGAGGCCATCCTAATCTTTAACCTCTCATAAAGGGTTTAGATGAAATTAGCTTTGTATTTGGAATTAGGGCATCCTCATGACAGTATTTGTAACTGCATTGTTTAAGGGGAAACACTGTTTCCAGAGGGACAAGCTCTGAAGTCAGAAGACTGTGCTAACCCAAGTTACTGTCACATTGTGCTGATCATTTAGAGAAAGTTCCAACTCTGCTGAAGAGCAGAACTCTGACATGATTTTTCACTTAGGTGTGCAGAAAGAATACATTAGCTTCGTGCACCAAATAGGCTGAAATCAAGCTTTAATTAGTCCAGCTTTTGCATATTTCATCACTTTGGTAGTCCAGCAGATTATGCTCCTGATTTTTATCCCAATGGGTTCACTTTAAGGGACTGGTTGTCTTTTATTAATTCTTTTCTATATCTTGATATTCCCAGCAAAGCCATGGCAACACACCTACTCTCTTAAAAAAAAAAGCAGATTAACACAGAAAAAAGTTGATCTTGTTAAATATCTTCTTAATATGAATATAATCAGTCTTAGAGATAGGAAAGTAAGTTAAACTTCCTCCTGTGTTTTTGCATCTCTAGGCCATCCATCTGGCCCAGGCAAGCTTCCAGATTGAAGCCTTTGGCTCCAAATTCATTCTTGACCTCATACTGAACAAGTAAGTACAGAGTCATGATCCTCTTAAGAATCAGGTACAGTAAAACTTCACTTCTAAGATATTTGTTTAATCAAAATTGTGTCTCTTGTTGAAGCAACTGATTATATAGAGCACTTAAAGAAAAATATAAAATTTTAATAGTGAATTCTGTCTTTATTTCCTTTGCCTGAAAGAAAAGACATTTAACATGTTAAATATCTCAAATACACCACTTACAAGATTTAAAATGGAATAAATATTTGAAGTACTGCTAGTTAATTAAATGTTAACTATAATTATCACTATAAGAAGCATGATTAAAGTCTAATTAGACTTCAGTCTAGAGATTTCTTCCATTTTACCTTTTATAATGCAATTCAGATAACTTCTATAGGAAGAACAAAGTGAGTGATGACTTTCAAGTACCTATTTTGAGAAGGTTCTTTGTTTCATAATTTGCTCTAATATGGATTCTAAGAAATTTGGTGCTGGTGGAAATTTACCCAGTTGTTTCTATGCATGTGTTTATGTTGATATTTAAATGCTGCCTCTAAGTAGAACCAGTTGTACAGATGTTCTTGTACAAAGTGTGAACAAGAGATGTTGCCTTAATCAAGGTTGAAGAGTCTGAGGAGAGCTAGCACCAAGCCTCTCGTTAGGGAAAGAGATTTCTTGTATGTTTTTCTTTAGTTACAGAAACTTTGGTCAGTATTTTCAGCTTTCATCAGTATTTTGACCAGACTTGCATCTTGGCAAGAAAAAAAAATGCCACTTAATGCTATCTGACACCATGATGTAGGTGATTGGAGCCAATGTCTGAGGAATTGCAAAGGACTATATAGAACAACTATTAAATTTCTTGTATGCCAGATTCTGTGAGCTCTGCAGAAAAAAAATGCAGAGTCAGCTTGGGTGCTCCTTACTCAAGTGTTATTGTAGCTTTTAAGTCAGATTGATTCAGCAGAACTCAGAATTTCCTGTGTTAAAGATACTGCAGGTTTTCTTGGGTTGAATTTTGTCTTACCATGCTATGTCAGCATGTGCCTGCCTAAGAGATTTGTCTTGCCAAATCTTAGGCTATGTTGAGTAGTAAGATACTGCTAATTTTAGTTTGCTGAAGTCTTCTGTTCTTCTAATGCTTACTGCAGTGGAGATCGTCACTCCAGGATGAACGTGATCACAGCAACCAACTCTCCAGTGTATTTTGAATATTAAATATTGAGGCCACAGCAGAGCCTCTCAGTCAAATAATAGATGACCAAGAAAGGGTCATGTGGGATGTCCAGGGGATTTAGCATTCTGAACATGTACCAGAAATTATTTATGACTAATATTTGAGATGCAGATGAATCAAGTTGAACAGCTATTATGGATCGTCCTTGCCTTGAGACATTTAGAGTGTAGTGGGAAAGGTTGATGTAGAAATGTAATTTTAGAAGAGTGTGAGGCATGTTGTGCTAGAGGTTAACATGGGATGTTACAGTAGTGCACCTGAACACACTGGGGTCACCCCTTGCAGAGGGCAAAGCCAATAACCACTGCCAGGAGAGAGAAGAGTGAAGAAAGTTTATGACTTGCAGCAAATGAGGAGAGCACTAGGCATAACTGCAAAGCAGTATCTTTCCAGACACAGGAGGCAAAGAGATTTCATTAGGAAAACGCATGCATATTTGTATTTTTTCAGATTCACTTATTTATTTTATAAGTCCTTATGAAGTTAATTATCATACATACAGATTAATACTCAGACTAACAGTCCAAAAGACACATAAAACACAGAAGGCAAGTATACTAAATCAAGGTACACTTGTAGGTGCATTGTTCATGCTGGATTACAATAACTTTTTTTCCTCTCTCTTTTTTCCTATTGTTTGCCTTCTATTTTGCACTTTATTTATATATTGGGTTTCTCATATAAGAGAAACAATGTGATATTTAAACCTGTGTGTCTAATTTACTGCGCTTAACATTATGGTCTCAAGGTGCTTCCATTTTCCTACAAATTACTCAAGTTTATCCTTTTTTATGGCAGAATAATACTCCATCGTGTATAAATACCACATTTTCTTCATCCATTCATCTGCTGATGGACATATAGGCTGCTTCCAAGATTTAGCTATTATGAATTGTACTGCCGTAAACATGGGTATGTACATATTCATATTGAAAGACTTGTCATCACATGTAAAGGTGGGCACATTCCTGAGCTTGCTCAGTTCAAGATCTTTCTTCTTCATCCATTCCATGTTCAAAAATGGCAGATGGGAACACCCCTGATATGGAGAATTTCGCATCAGAATGAGTATAAAATGAGCAAGTTTCTTCTAGGTCACCTAGAAGAGCGACTCAGCGATTCTGGATGGTTTAAACCAGTTCTTTGTAGTTTTCTGCAGAGAGCTTTATCTGAAATGAATAACTAAAAATGGTTGATCTGCAGGCTGCAGTTTCCATGGAGCTCCAGGGAGCAAAAGCCAGGGCTAAGAGTGAATGGAGAAGGCGACATGAAGATAGCAAGCACCTGCAGAGGATGTTGGGTGAGAAGACAGAGCTAGGAGGAGACATCAGGATCGAGGCCGAACTTTTCAGTATTATGGAACAAGTTGATTGATAGATTGAGCACTGGAGCTGGTAAGAGTGCGAGGTTGAAGGTACTAAAGGAGTGGAGGTGACCTGTGGAGCAGACCTGGCTCAGGACCAGAGGGAGTAAGCTGAGAGCAGGGGCGGTGCATGGTTTGGGACAGGGGAACCAGCCTGTCCACACTGCTGTGCCAGTCTTGACGGTGTGCAGAAGAAATGTCCCTCAGAAGGGCTTGGACAGCATCACCTACTGCAGGGTTGGGCTGGACAGAGAGAGAGGTTTGGTGCCAGAGGAAAATGGAGGCAGTTTGGTTGATCACTGGAAGGAATGAGTGAGGAATCTGAGCAAGGTCAAGTTAAAGAATTTGTTAGAAACTTTCGTGTGCTGTGTGTTAGTCTTCATGTCTTCCTTCCTGATGGTGTTCTTTAAAATGTCATTTTTCTTCTTAGTTTTTTTTTTTTGTTTTTGGTACCAGGGATTGAACTCAGGACCCTGCAGTTGTGAGGCAGGCACAGTGCCACTGAGCTAAATCCCTGGCCCTCTTCTTAGTTTTAATCTGGGTGCATTGTTGCTCAGTGTGTGTGTGAAGGAGGAGGACTGTAGTATGGAGCCAGGGCTCAGTGTTTGTGGAAGCACAGAGAAAGGACTGTGGGAGCGGTCATGTGGAATACTGAATACAGTGGAATAACTGGGGATCTAGTTATTGAGTATCAGGATGCAGTCCTGGGAAGAAAGAGAGGAGTGTGGGGGACGCCTGTGGAAGGGAAGGAGACAGAGGATTCTGGAAGGAAGAGTCAGCAAGTGGGAGGGAGGCCAGGAGGTCACAGCCATGTGGATCTGTCCTCTTCTGTCAGGGCAAAGTGAGAATGCAAACTGGCCTGATTCAGGGACAAGGGACTGTATTAGAGCATAAAGTGTGTTGCCCGGGTAGGGTTGGAGTCTCTAGTTGGAATGATTTATCGTGGCTGCAATTAATGTAAAGTCAGATCCATGTCAGAATAAGCTTAAAGAATCAAGAGAATGTTTAAATCACACACGGAGGAACAAAAGAACCCCTGAAGAAAGAGAGATCTGATTTCCACCACACAGTGATCATTGTCACACTGTATGGCTCAATTTTAAGTCCTCAGAGGAGAACCAGGCAAAAGTTGTATATGAAGTCTGTGGTGCAGTATGTGAAGGAAAGAGACACAAGGGTGCCACTATTAGCTAATCCATTTTGTGGCCACAGGATTGAGATGGTGGTGACCTCACCAGGTTTGGAAGGCTCACGTGTGAGGCCTGCTGTCTGTGAACTCCTGAGAGCAGAGCCTTTTCTCAGTCTGTGCTTCCACAGATGCACAGGGGCCTGGGCATGCTCTGTGCCTGTGGTTCTGGTAGGTGAGATGCTGCTGGCAATAAGGTAGATGAAGCCTATGCCACCTCCTTTAGCGCTTCATCCTGGGGCAGGAAGCAGACATTGAGCCAGCAGATAAAAACAAGGACATTGAAAAAAACGTAGCTGGCTGTGTGACGGAGAAGATCTGTGGGTGAAGACGGCCCGGGAGTAGGTGAGTGCTGGGTGTCACTGTCTGAGGGCTCCACACGCTGGGACAGCAGGACAGCTGGCATTGAGGGAGACGTGGAGTGGGTACGGAGAACAGAGGGTGACCGGAGTGCAGGGTAGCTAGAGGGTGGTGGGAGCCTGAGGAGAGAGGAGATCATGTAGGGCTATCCATGAAGAGGCCGTCATGGCGGGCAGTAAGCGTGGAAGTGACACAGGTGGATTTATATTTGATTTGGTCCAAGGTCCTAGTGTTGGCCTTAGGAGATCTTTAGTTACATTCCTCTCAGGATATTTCCTTCTTAAAATTGCGCTTTTTATTTTTCCTGTAAAATAACCATTGCTCCAAGTTTCAGAAGATTTTACAAGGATTTCTAGGTCAACAGTTTTTTGGGGGAGAGGAGGTTAAACAGTGTTTTTAATCTTTTAAGTTTTTATTGTTGAAAACTGCTTTATTGAGGTATGATTGACATCAGATCAGTAATGCTTAAGGTGTATCAGTCTGTAGAAGTCCAGCAGGTCTAGGTGGTCTGCCTTACATATCTGATTAGAATGACGTCAAAGCCTGCATTACCTATGGTTATCTTTGCTGGTGTCTTTAGTAAATGTTGGCAGTAACCATAATCAGAGCTACGTGATTGCGAGCACAGGTTCTAGAATCAAAGAGGCCTGGTTTTGAATCTGAGGCCTGCCATTCACTTTGCCATGTAATTCTGGGCAAGTTTCTTGACTTCTTACTTTCTCTCTTTTTCTCCTCTTCCTTGTCTTCCTCCACCACCATCCCCAATCACTACCACGGATACTACAAAATCCACCCCACTGAAGTGTCCTAGTCGGTGATCTTTATAATATTTCCAGAGCTATACACTTATTGCCACATAATAATTTGAGAGCATTTTC